AGTTGAGTAGTAGAGGATACAAGAGCTCTTTCTGTGCCCTGGCTGGTGGGATCAGCGCACGTCATCAGCAACGCGAGCTCCTCTGTATCCGCTTTCAGCCACACTGGCTTGACTCCTGTCGCCTCTGCCCCACGTTGGGCTTTGGCTTTAAATCCCTTTGGCCATTAAATCAGCATCCTTGGAAGCTCCACAGATCGCTACTATTTTCTTTGAAAGATTTTTAAAAATTTTTATTGGAAAGGCAGATTTATAGAGAGACATAGAGAAGGATCTTCCTCTACTGATTTACTCCCCAAGTAGCTGCAAAGGCCAGAGCTGCTGAGCTGATCCGAAGCCAGAACCAGGAGCCCCCTCTAGGTCTCCTACATGGGTGCAGGCTCCCAAGGCTTTGGACTGTCCTCAACTGCTTTCCCAGGCCACAAGCAGGGAACTGCTGAATGGGAAGTGGAGCAGCTCATATGGGATTCTGGCAAAACTTTAACTACTAGGTTACTGCGCTGGGCCCAAAGTGAATGATAACTTTTAAGGAAAGACTTTGGCTTGGGCCCAGCAGCCTCCACCTACACCACTGCCATCTCATATTGGCAGCAGTTCATGTCCTGGCTGCTCCACTTCTGATCCAGCTCCAGGCCTGGGAAAACCAATAGAAGGTGACCCAAATGTCTGGGCTCCTGTCACGCATTTGGTAGACCTGGATGAAGTTCCTGTCTCCTGACTTCTTCCTGGCCCAGCCCTGGCCATAATGGTCATCAGGGAAGTAACCCAGCAAATGGAAGATGTGTCTCTGTCTTGCTCTCTTTCTTTGTAATAATAAATCAATCTTAAACAAACACACACACGCACACACACAAATAGACTTTGGTTTTCACCATTGTGAAAGATAGCACTACTCCTGAGGCGGAATCCCATGTAAGGCAAACAAAGCAATGAAAGGGGACAAATGTTGAAGGTGGCAGCGTTGTATTTCCTTCAGTGTACGACATGGGCTATGTTTTGAATGTCAGTCTCTTGCAAATCTTCTGTTGAAATTAATTACCATTTTCCTAAGATTTGAGAGGTGAGTAGGCCCTGGCCATGTGGGTAGGATGAACGCTGTCGGGACAGGCTGCGTTTGGCCCGATGCCTCCCCTGGTCCTTCCGCCTTCCTCCGGGTAGTGAGTACCCAGACCCTCGCCAGATGCCCGTGCTGTGAGCCACCTGGCCTCCAAAGCAAGAGCCAATTAATTTCTGTCCATTTTCAGTTATCCACTCACAGCAGCACAAAAGCAGCCAAGGCAACAGGGCTACACACTTGCTTTACCCCAGAATATTCTCATTCAGAGTGTGTAAAACAACACCCTAGTAAAGACAGGATCCAGATCTTGGATTCCAAATACCATTCTTCCGTAAAAGGAGCTAGGCTGGGCCCCTTGAGCAAAGGGCTCTGGAGCCCAGGTATCTTGTGATTCCAGAAAGTAAGAAATACCTAAAAAAAAAAAAAAAAAAAAAGAAAGAAAGAAAGAAAAGAAAACATCAGGCCTTGTGGAAAAACACAGCAGCCAGGGTGAAGGTCTGCTAAGACACGAAACAATGTGCGCAGCAACGTGAGTAATGGGATCAGAGCTTTACCTTCAGACAAAGCAAACACGTGAGTCAACACTCCACGCGATTAACTGCAGAAGTGACAGCTTTTGCTAACAGCAGAACTGCAATTAACATACACAGAAGAAAACAGAACACCAGCACCGAGAAAATATCACACTATTAACCATACCCAGGAGGTCCTGATCCATGGAGGAGTTTGAGGAGAAATGACTTTTATACATCCACAAAGCAGATCCTCCAAGACGCCTACTAACGGAAAAGGAAAGGTGGTGATTTACAGTGGTCAAATTTCGACAGAAACTACCCCGACCAAGTGACCAAGGTCAACAACAGCAGTAGTCATTAAGATGTATTGACCTTAAACGTCATGATACAAAGGAGCGAGGACAATTCCATTTCTGTGATAAGCTCTCAGAAGCATAACCTCCGTTCAACAAGGACAAAATGCTAGACAAACTCAAACTGAGGCACACCAAGCAAAAACAACTGATGGATATTTTTCAAAAGGGACAAGGGCATGAAAGTCCTGGTGACACTGAGGGGCTGCCAAGGTTTAAGGAAACGTGGGATGAGGGAACTAAAGGCAGTATTAGCTTGACAACTGAGGAAATACAAGTAGGGCATTTGCTCTAATTATGGTGTTTTTCTTGGTTCTGGCCGCTGTGCTATGTAAAACTTTCATTAGGAGAAGCTAACTGAATCACATTAAGAAGCTATTATATTTCTGCAAATTTTTGGGTATCTACACAGTTCAAAACAAGAAATGGAGCATATTTTCCATGTGCAGTATCAACTTAGGGCTAGTGTCATATTTTGATTCTAGCACAAAATCACTGCACTGCACAATCTACCAATGAAATGCTTATGGAATAAAATTCTATTATCCATTTGTCTTTTGATATGGCTATGACTGAGAAATCATATACGTAATAATATGTCAGGGACTCAACTTCCAGCATCCCCCTTTTATTTTTTCTTAATTTGAGAGAAACAGAGAAGAAAGCTCTCAGCTGCTGGGGTGGATGGGCTACAGCAGCTGGGGCTAGGACCAGGAGCCAGGAACACAGTGTGTCTCCCACGCAGACAGCAGGATCCCAGTTGCCAAGCCATCGCTGCGGCCTCCCTAAGATGCAGTGGCAGGAAGCTGGAGCCAATTGGTACACCCAAGTTTGAGTACTCAAGTAGAGGTTTGAGCTACTATACCATGAGGCTACATATTCACTCGAATTGTGATATACTTTTTAAAAGTAAGATATATGAAAAGAATTGAGTTCTTGAAGCCTTATACTTTTTCATGTATATATATATTTTTAAAGAGTTATTTTTATTTTTTTTTATTGGAAAGGCGGATATACAGAGAGGAGAGACAGAGAGGAAGATCTTCCGTCCGATGATTCACTCCCCAAGTGAGCACAACGGCCTATGCTATGCCGATCTGAAGCCAGGAGCCTCTTCCGGGTCCCCCACACGGGTGCAGGGTCCCAAAGCTTTGGGCCGTCCTCAACTGCTTTCCCAGGCCACAGGCAGGGAGCTGGAAGGGAAGAGGGGCTGCGGGATAGAACCGGCGCCCATATGGGATCCCGGGCGTGCTAGGCGAGGACCTTAACCACTGCGCCACCACTGCGCTGGGCCCTTTCATGTATATTTTTAAAAGATTTAATTATTTTTAATTTTTATTGAAAGTCAGATATATAGAGAAGAGATAGAGAGGAATATCTTCTGTCCGATGGTTCACTCCCCAAGTGGCTGCAACCAATCCGAAGCCAGGAGCCTGGAGCCTCTTCTGGGTCTCTTCTGGGTGGTTGCAGGATCCCAAAGCTTTGGGGCATCCTCTACTGCCTTCCTAGGGCACAAGCAGGGAGCTAGATGGGAAGCAGGTCTCCCAGGTTCAGAACTGGTGCCCATATGGGATCCCAGTGCATGCAGGGTAAGGATTTTAGCTTCTAGGCTACTACAGTAGACCCTCCAAAGTACATTTTTAACAGTTGTCATAGCAAACGTTTGAAATCAGAATTTATAGGCCTGGTGCAATAGCCTAAGGGCTAAATCCTCACCTTGCATCTGCCAGGATCCCATATGGGCACTGGTTCATGTCCCAGCTGCTCTGCTTCCCACCCAGCTCCCTGCTTGTGGCCCAGGAAAGCAGTCAAGGACGGCCCAGATCCTTGGGACCCTGCACCCACGCAGAAGACCTGGAGGAAGTTCCTGGTTCTTGGCTTGGGACTGGCCGGTGAAGCCACTGGGGAGCGAACCAGCAGATGAAAGATCTTCCTGTCCCTCCTTTCTATAGATCTACCCTCCCAATTTAAAAAAAAAAATCTTAAAAACAAAAACAGAATTAACTTGAAGTCCAAGTTCTGAGCCCGGCGCGGTGGCGCAAGTGGTTAAAGTCCTCACCTTGCGCCCATATGGTTACCGGTTCTAATCCCAGCAGCCCTGCTTCCCATCCAGCTCCCTGCTTGTGGCCTGGGAAAGCAGCTGACTACAGCCCAAAGCCTTGGGACCCTGCAGCCAAAGTGGGAGACCAGGAAGAGGATCTGGGCTCCTAGTTTTGGATGGACACAGCACCAGCTGTTGCGGTCACTTAGGGAGTAAATCATTGGACGGAAGATCTTCCACTCTATCTCTCCTCATCTCTGTATATCTGACTTTGTAATTAAAAATAAATCTTTTTTAAAAAGATTGGAAAGTTAGATATACAGAGAGGAAGATCTTCCATCTGATGACCCATTCCCCTAGTGACCACAACAGCCGGAGCTGAGCCAATCCAAAGCCAGAAGCCAGGAGCTTCTTTGGGGTCTCCCACGCGGGTGCAGAGTCCCAAGGCTTTGAACCATCCTCTACTGCTTTCCCAGGTCACAAGCAGGGAGCTGGATGGGAAGCAGGGCTGCCAGGATTATAACCAGTGCCCATATTTATCCCGGACCGTACAAGACAAGGACTTTAACAACTAGGCTATGACACAGGCTCCCTGCCCCCCAACTGCTTTGAGGGGAGCCTTAAACACATGTGCGCTCACATGGGACTTGTCCTGGAGTTAAGCCTTGACCTGGCTGCTTTATTTTCCAAGGCACTCATATTTTTAAAAAGGCATCAATATCATGCCCCTAAATCGTTTCAGATTTTTTATCCCTTTTTAGTTCTTCCATAATGATTTTCCTTGGCCAAGGTAATTTTATGAACTTAAGGAATGAGAACAAATAGTAAAACCCAACTTCAAATTCAACAACATCCAAAGAGCCTAAATAGAGTAACAAGCTTCTTCAACTTATCATTTATGATGAAAAGCCAGAAGAACTTTTTGAACATAAACATAAAAATAGATTAAATTTATTAAGAGTAGGAAAAGTTTTAAACTTGTTGGAACAATGAAATTGAGACTTACATAACACACAGCCTAAAGAATTAGAAATTCATGATATTCTGGTATATTCTCCTGACAACACGTCAATATATACATGAACATATAACAAATAGCATTTATTTCACAGGGAGGAAAAAAATAAATCTCATCATAAAAGCAGACTTACTGAATTTCAGCTTTGATATTCTAAAGGTACAAAAAACAACAAGATTCACCCTTAACATAAAAAAAAGAAGTCTTTATATATATATGATCCGTTAGGAACACTCTTTAGGCTCTTGTAAAACATTTAGGAACTTGTGAACGCTGCATCCTGACTGCTCAGCGGCCTGGCCCCGCCCTGCGGACGCAGCCCTGTCCCCAGCGCCTCAGCCTACTTCTTCTTCCTCTTCTTTGGAGGCTCGTCCTCGGAGCTGCTCTCCGTGCTGCTGCTGCTGCTGCTGGAAGAGCTGGAGGAGGAGGAGGACGACGACGAGGAGGAGCTCGTGGAGGAGCCTGAGGAGGAGGAGCTGGAGGAGCTCTCGTCACTGTCGCTGGCCTCGGAGGAGGACGAGGTAGACGTGTCGCTGTCGGAGGAGGAATCGCTGGCTGAGCTGTCGCTGCTGTCGCTACTGGAGCTGGTTACACTCTTAGCCCTGTCAGACAGCAAACAGAGTCATGCAAAGCTGACGTTCAACAGAACGCTTAAAAGTCGTCTCAGATGATGCTGGACTTCTGGACAGGCACGCCATCGCCAGGCAGGATGCTCTGGGGGTACCCGCTGCTGTAATCCACACACCTCCCCTTAGAGGGTTTCGTACTGCTTCAGGAATTTAACTTTCCAAATGCAGTTTAAAAAGCATATCTACTAGTTCATGTCCAGAGAGGATGGTGTTGAAGTTGTGGTGTAACAACAGGGCCTATTTTACACCTCAAGCTCCAAGTGCTTCCCTTTTGTATTTTTTAATTTTAACTTCTTTGGAACAGCAGTTCCTTAATACTTGATAACACAGACAAGAGATTATTGCTATTTCTAGGTATAAGGATTCTGGAAGGTTAGAGGAAAAGGAGAAATGGAGTCGAGAAATTCCAGAGGTAGAAAGAGAACATACCAGGAAACAGGAGGTTACTTAATTACGAATTGCACACAGTGACTGCAGATCTAAATCTTACAGTTAACTATTTTGTAATTACGGTTTCCATTCCTCTATCTGTTACATATTATATCTGCAAAACACCCCTGGGGCCACACATACCTTTTTTTCTTGGTCTTCCTTTCTACATTGGCTTCTCCGATGCTGATAACATGAGAGGGAAAAAGCTCCTGTTAGTGGAGTGATCCACACGGCTCCGCCGGCCCTTCTGCTGCCGCCCACGTGGTCCCGCAGGGAGCACTCCCGTGCCCTCGTCACACGTACTCACACACAGTCATTCTTGCTGCAAGCAAGTGCAGTTTCCTTTGGAAAGCTGCATTTGCAATCTATTTAACCAGCAATAAAGCCAGACAGCTTCATTACTGGTACCTTAAAGTCAGGTAAGCTAGTGGCTAAGATGACTTCTTAAATTGGAACTTAGGTTGACAGGACAAAATCAGTTATTTGCTGATCAAATAATACAGCACAGCAGCAGAAAATTCCAATTCTTAAAATCATATTAAAAATGGCCATTTTGAAGAATCAAGATGGAGGAATAGGGTAAGGACACGTTTAAACAGTTGGAGAAAGATTAGCTACTATGAAGTAGAGGGCACATTCCAGGAAATAGGAGAGGACAGAACAACAGCAGTGGGGTACCCGGAGAATGACAGACACGGGAAAGCAGCGGAAACAACGTGTGGTGTTGCAGTGACTGACACCCAACGGCATTCAGCAAATGGCGATTTGAACTCCACCGGCAACCAGGTGGGAAGGGATGTTTATTTTTCTTCCTGTTGTTGATTTTATATTGTGGCTTTTCATTTAAGGGGATGTATAGTAACTGTGTAATGGAGATTATCATATCCAGATGTGAGGATACAATGCAGTATGCATCTCTACTTCTAGACAAAGATAAACTCTCACTGAAACAGTTTGCTATATCTTGATAATAGGATACTGGACTGTCTGCCATTGTCCAAGCCCGCCATGATGGGCATATGCCTGTTTCTGAAGAACCATACTTTAGTAATAATATAGGGGAACTCAGTGAGGGGGGAGGGACTTGGGGAGGGTATAAGGGAAATTATATATAATGATATTAATAAAAAGAAGCAAAATTAAAATAAAATGGCCATTTCATGTTTGTGAAAAGCCAACTTTTTAAGTTCAAATCACAATCTCTTTTTCTTTATATTCACTTAATGTTCTGTTTTATTGTTTAAACACCAGAAACTTAATCCTGAAAGGCTGTGTTGCCTCACCTTATTTATAAAGAACAAAATTTGATGAATTTTAATGAAATGTCCAAATGCTTGCGGCTGTATTTCTGCCAAGCAATACGCATACGAGACTAAGTTTTCAAATTATAGATTTTACTGCTATTGATGCACCGCTGTCCCGTGCACTCATCATCTATATAGTCTGGACTTCTTTTTATTTCTTACATAAATCTATTAATTTCCCAAGTCTTCAAACAAAATTTTATTTCACACAATACAAATACTAAGTTGTCATATTTCCAAGCAAAATAACAGCCAGAAGTATATTTATTAAATTACATTAGAAGAACTCATGCTTGCAAGAGATGGGCACATACCCACAGTTGTATCAATGAAAAATCAGCACTCATTATTTATGAAGCAAAACCTAGGGCCTGGTGTGATAGGTTAGTGGTTAAATCTTTGCCTTCTATCTTCCAGGATCTCATATGGACACCAGTTCTAACCCTGGCTGCTTCGCTTCACATCCAGCTCCCTGCCTGCGGCCTGGAAAAGCAGCAAAGGACAGCCCAAAGCCTTGGGACCCTGCACCAGCGGGGGAAGTCTAGGAAGAAGCTCCTGGCTTCAGACTGGCTCAGCTGCAGCTGTTGCGGCTACTTAGGGAGTGAACCAGGAGATGGAGAATTTTTTTTCTCTATCTCTCTTTCTAAAAAAAGAAGCTAAATCTAATATCAATGCAATTCTATATACTTTTAAGAGTAAAATAGTTCTGAGATACAAACAGAAAAACAAAAGTAAATGTTGGAATGAAAGCTTTTATAAATCAAATCTTACTCTTTATCATAGTGGCATTCAAATTTTTTTGCTTATACTTGTAAAAGATAACTTTGGAAAATTCCCATTTTAAAAAATCTTGTAAGTTTTAGTACTTACAGGGAGTATTTTACATGTATATTGATGTTTTAAAAACAAATAGTTGGGGCTGGTGCTGTGGCTACTCCATTTCTGATCCAGCTCCCTGCTAACGGCCTGGGGAAAGCAGCAGAGGATGGCCCCAGCTGCTCGGGGCCCTGCCGGGAGGAAGGCCCTGCTTGCAGGCAGACCCCCACTGCACCATCTGGGCAGAGAACTAGCAAGTGGAAGACCTCTCAGACTCGCCCTCTCCCTCTCTGCAGTTCTGACTTGCAAATGAATCGGTTTTTTAAAAATGTTTATTTATTTTCATTACAAAGTCACATATACAGAGAGGAGAGACAGAGAGGAAGATCTTCTGTCCAATGATTCACTCCTCAAGTGACCGCAACAGCAGGTGCAGCACCAGTCCAAAGCCAGGAGCCAGGAACTTCTCTATATCTCCCACAAGGGTGCAGGGTCTCAAGGCTTTGGGCCGTCCTTGACTGCTTTCCCAGGCCACAAGCAGGGAGCTGGATGGGAAGTGGAGCCGCCGGGGTTAGAACCGGCACCCATATGGGAACCGGTAAGTTCAAGGCGAGGACTTTAGCCACTAGGCCACGCAGCCAGGCCCAAAATAAATAAATCTTGGGAAAAAAAATCACTTGTGAATTTCAAATTTTTTCGCACCAAAAACAAACAAACAATAAACCACAAAATCAAAAATGTATCCTTCAGTTCCATTTAAAAGAGACTGACTGGTTGTAGAGGCCAAGAGAAAAAGAAGTAGGCGCTACTACTGGTTCACTCTCCAATAGCCCGCCATGCCAGCGACAGTTCAGGCCAGAAATACCGTGCAAGTGTCTTATGGACTTGGCAGGAAACTGACAAACTTGAGCCATTCTCATTGCCTCTTAGGATCTGTATTAGCAGAAAGCTGGAGTCAGGAGCCAGAACTAGGACTCACACCCTGGCACTTCTAAAGCAGGACATAAGAATATTAACTGCTGGCTGGCACAATGGCTCAATTGGCTAATGCTTCACCCTCAAGCACTGGGATCCCTATGGACACTGGTTCATGTCCTGGCTGCCCTACTTCCTGTTCCAGCTTGTGGCCTGGAAAAGCAGCAGAGAATGGCCCAAAGCCTTGGGATCCTGCACCCACATGGCAGACCTGGAAGAAGTTCCTGGCTCCTGGTTTCATATCAATTCAGCTCTGACCATTGCCAGAACAAGCACATAGAAGACCTTTTCCGCTCTGTCTCTCTTCCTCTTGGTAAATTTGATTTTCCAACAAAAAGAAAATCTTAAAATAAAAAAAAATTCTAACTGCTAGGCTAAACCCTGGCTCCCTCCCCCACCCCCCATCTTTTGGACTTCTCCAAGTAGACATTCTTTGTGTCTTATTTGTATACTTAGTGTATCTGCTCCTAAAACTCAGTTTGTCATAGCCGGCTGTGATTTCACTGCAGCTGAAGCAGTTAGGCGAAGGTTGAGGTCATGGAATCTGGAGACAGCCTCTTCGGGTGAGTGCGACTTTTCCATTCCTTTACTAGCTGTCTGGCAGGGAGCAAGTTAGTACATCTCCCCAGTGCTTCAGTGTGTGAATATGTAAAACAAAGATAATAATAGTACCTACCTTAGCAGGAGGGACGGGAGGCTTAAAATAAGCTAGTATTTCCAACCTACCTTTGTTGTAGCAATAATCTGTTTTCCTTTTCTTTTAAAGCTTTCTTCAGTTCTGCTGTTCTTGAAGGCCTGTGTAGGTATTTTCTTTTTCCTGTGCATTCGTATGTCCAATGTCCGAATTCCAAGCATTTTTGACATCTGACATGTTGCTTATTTGCTTCACTACAGAGCAAAACACAGAATACACACCTTAGAATTCTGCCTTGCAACATTTCCTGCCCTGAAAAGCAGAGACATCACCAAGTGTAAACTGATGCTTGTTTTATTCCAAGTTACCTTTATATTGTTTCTGTGACATTTAAGACCAAGCAGTATAGTTAGTAGTTAAATGTGTGGATCTTGGAGTTCAGACAGAACTGAATCCCAGCTTTGGCTCCTGAGTCCATCACAGGAATGACGGCCTTGGGAATGTGGGCTGACTTCCTCGTTGAGAAGTAGAAAAGAATGACAAAGCATTAGCAGTCGGCTTGATGAATCAAGGACTTACCAAGGAAGTAGAGACCAACCAAGCCGAGACAGGGAAGACATAAACCTGGCGCTAACGCAAAGCTGGTGCCAGGGGCAAGCACCATATGCCAACAGCTAGGGGGACTGATTTATTTCCAGAGTTAAATCTTTGAAGGGATAAACTTAACAATAACCTGAACCTTCTATGGCCCACAGCCCAGCTTCCAGTCATCTAAAAGACTGAGGAAAAAAATCTCCATTCCCGAACTAGATTAAGATATAACAATGGGAGAAATACAGGTCACAAAGAATTGTTCTGACAGAAATAAAGCTGTCATTCCCCACTGATGAAGCATTGGGCACATGGTAAGTCCAAAAGAATCAACAGATAAAACATTCTGAAATAAATAGAATTAATGATAAGCAACCTTGATAAACTAGCCTAGCAAGATTTTAGGTGAGCAGCCAGACAACTTTTTCTTGTAGTAAAGAACCAGGTACTAAGTTACAGGCTAGCTTACACAATGAACGAGACAGATTTCCATAAATGTTTTCACAAAAACTAAAGTATAACTTAACATAACAGAGGTCTACTAATAAGAAGAATGAAATTTGTTTTTTGATAACGCTCATCCAACTGTGCTTCTAATTAGTATTTTGTTATGGGTTGAGTGGGACTCGTCCCCCCTCCTCCCACCGACAGGACACAAGATGCTTAGACTCTGCTGTGGGAATGTAAATGGTGGATGGATATAAGGTAGGGACCTGATGTAGCTGTGCCACCTGAGAGGTGGGTGGGTGGGTGGGTGGCTATTCTCTGGACCCCTTGGGTGTGTCCACAGAGGGTGGCTTTCACACAGGGGTTGCTCCTTTGAGTTCAGGTTCGGCCTAGCTCTTTGCTTCCTGGCTCGCCACGTCATGGTTCACCCACACCTGCCATGAAGATTCCATGGGGCTGCCTGTCCCAGACCACAACCTCCAAATGGTAAGCTGAAAGGAATCTTCCTTCCCAACAAGTTCCTCTAAGATGTTTTAGTGGAAGCGAGAAAAATTAGACTAACACATCCGTGATCAGACCGTTCCTATGTGTGTATATAAGTAAGGTTAGTTGGCAAGGGAAAAAAGCAGGTAACAAGCAAGATTCAGACATGGTTTCCAGAACCTTGTATTGGGTCTCTACATAAAATCAGCTAAGTCTGCACAGAACAAAAACAGTTAAAAATGAAATACTTAACATGTGATACTTACAACATCCTGATATTTACGGTTAACTATGAGATACAATATCTAGAAATGAAGATATGCAAGATTTACATGCAAAAAGCCAACTACAACACTAGAAGCCCCAATACTGTAGAAGTACCAGCTCTCCCCAAATTGGTGCAGATTCAAAGTAGTGTCGCTCAAAACCTCAACATTTTTTTCAGCCTGAGAATCTTAATAAGCTTATTCTAAAAAGTGTATTGTTCTAAAATGCAAAAGGTCAAGAAGTCAAGATATTCCAAAGAACAGCAAGGAATCTTTGCGTTAAGACACTGATGTCATAAAAAATGTAAATAAGTGAGAGTGAGCATACATGAAGGAGCTAACAGAAATTCCAGAAACATATAGACAATATAGGAACATTCAATGATTTAATTTATGACAAATGGGGCACTAAAGAACAATGGGTGATGCAAAGATGACAAATAGGGCAGACAGCTGGCCATGCATACAGAAAATATAAAACTTTACTCTTCACTTTATTATTTTTTTTAAAATTCATTTATTTTTATTGCAAAGTCAGATATACAGAGAGGAGAAGAGACAGAGAAGATCTTCCATCCGATAATTCACTCCCCAAGTGAGCGCAATGGCCAGAGCTGTGCCGATCTGAAGCCAGGAGCCTCTTCTGGGTCTCCCACACGAGTGTAAGATCCCAAGGCTTTGGGCTGTCCTCCACTGCTTTCCCGGGCCACAAGCAGGGAGCTGGATGGGAAGTGGAGCTGCCAGGATTAGAACCGGTGCCCATATGCAGACCTGGCCAGACAAGAAAGTTTTACAAGACAATCTAAGAAAAAACACACGGAGCAGGAATTGCTGTAGCAGCGATGTGGCATGGCACACTCACTTTCAATATCCAATAAGCTGGATTGGGTCTCAGCTTCTCTGCCTCTGACTTAGCCTCATACTGAAGAGTACCTTAGCAACCAGGAGATGATGGCTCAGGTACTTAGGTCCTTGCCAACTCTTGCTGGTGGAGCAGACTGTGTCTCAGGCTCGCAGCTTTGGCCTGGTCCAGCCTTGGTTGCTGCAGGCATTTGGCAAATGGACCAACTGGTAGAAGATGTCTCTTGGCCTTTCAAGTAAAAATGGAAATAAATCTTAAAATTTTTCTTTTAAAACATCACAAATTTGAGTTAGGGTTTCGTGGCATAGCCCACTAATCCTCCGCCTGGAGAGCCAGTACCCCTCTCTGTGCTAAGCTGCTCCGTTTGTGAGCCAGCTCTCTGCTTCGGCCTGGAAAGGCAGCAGAGAATGGCCTGGGTCATTGTGATCCTGCAAACACCAGGGAGATACAGAAACAGCTCCTGCCACCGAGTTCTGACCAATTCAGCTCCTGCCACTGCAGTCATTAGAAGAGTAAACCAGCAAATGAAAGACCTCTCTATCTCTCCTTCTCTTTCTGTAAAAGTATGCCTTTCAGGGCCCAGTGCCGTGGCCTAGCCGCTAAAGTCCTCACCTTGAATGTGCCGGGATCTCATTTGGGCACCGATTCTAATCCTGGCTGCTCCACTTCCCTTCCAGCTCCCTGCTTGTGGCCTGGGAAAGCAGTCGAGGACGGCCCAAAGCTTTGGGACCCTGCACCTGCATGGGAGACCTGGAAGAGCTCCTGGCTCCTGGCTTCTGATTGGCGCAGCATCGGCCGTTGTGGTCACTGGGGGAGTGAATCAGTGGATGGAAGATCTTCCTCTCTGTCTTAAATCTTAAAAAAAATATGCCTTTCAAATAAAAATAAGTCAAAAAATTTTAAATCTATGCATGGTTATATGTAAAATATATGTATGTACTGCTTTCCTTTTATGTAGCTAGTTAAAATTCTAAGTCCCACCCATGCAGAAAAGTTTCGAGTACACCTCAAAGAACTATTTTTCCTGTTATTTACACATTGTCTCACCGACCAGGACCTTTTGGTGAATATTTTCTGCAAACCAGGAAACATGGTATTAAAACTACATTGGGGCCCTGCACAGTAGCCTGGTGGCTAATGTCCCCGCTTTGCACGCTCCAGGAACCCATAGGGGCTCCAGTTCTAATCCCGGCAGCCCCATTTCCCATCCAGCTCCCTGCTTGTGGCCCGGGAAAGCCGTCAAGGACGGCCCAAACCCTTGGGACCCTGCAGCCACGTTGGTGATCAGGAAAAAGCTCCTGGCTCCTGGCTTCGGATTGGCGCAGTTCTGGCCATTGCGGTCACTTAGGGGATCAGTGGACGGATCAGCGGATCTTCTTCTCTCTCTCTCCTCTCTGTATATCTGACTTTCCAATAAAAATAAATAAATGTTTAATAACAAAATTACATCGGGCCCAGTGCGGTGGCCTAGTGGCTAAAGCAGTCGTTTTGTATGTATCAGGATCCCATATGGACGCCGGCTTGTATCCTGGTTGCTGCACTTCCCATCTAGCTCCCTGCTTGATACCTGAGAAAGCTGTCAAGGATGACCCAAAGCCTTGGGATTCTGTACCGGCTTGGGAGACCTGGAGGAAGTTCCTGGCTTCTGGCTACGGATTGGCTCAGCTCTGTCCATTGCAGCCACTTGGGGAGTGAACCAGCAGATGCAAGACCTTTCTGTCTCTTCTCTGTCTAAATCTGACTTTCCAATAAAAAAAAATTTTTTTAATTAATATTGACACATTCCTCCTACTCTGACTTCATTTAAATGTCATCAAATGTCCCAATAATGTTTTATACAGCAAAATTCAATTTAGCACCAATAAATAAACACGTCTTTATTTAAAATGTCTCTGGCCAGCATTTTGCCATGTGGAGCTAAGCCAACGCCTGCGGTGCCGGCCTCCGACACAGGCAGGAGCTGGAGCTCCAGGTACTGATGTCTGGGAAAGCAGCGGAAGGCAGCCCGAGCGGGAGGAACTTCCTGGCTCCTGCAGCAGCCTCAGCCACTGCAGCCATCTGGGGAGTGAACCACTAGCGGGACGCTCCCTCTCCCTCCAATTTGACTTTCATAAATAGGACACATATTCATAGATAACCATTTTTTCCCACAAGCTTCCTGAAAGTCCCTATTGAAGAGATCGAGTCCGAATCCGCCGTGTCTGAGCCCAGGTTGGGCTGCAGTGTGACCTGGGGGCCGCGCCAGCAACCTGCAGAGAGGCCCGGAGACCAGAGCTGAGGCCTGCTGCCCACGGCCTGGTGAGGGCGCCAAGCCTTCGGACCACTCAGCCCTGCTCACACCCCGATGGCCACTCCGAGGGACAGCCCTAAGTCAGAGCGAGCTGGCGCTTACTGGTACAAGCCACCATATGCTGAGGTTGTTATTACACAACAAGTGATAGCTAATTCAATACTTTAAAGCACGTCGCTATCTAGCTCACTGCTTGGCTCAGGAGGAGGTCCATAAGAGGAATCTGTGTTCTGCGGATAAGACCCATTCCCGGAGCACTCCCTGGCGCAATGACCAAGCCCAGGCTTGTGTCCTGTGTTCTCTGTCCTCGCCCCAGTCAGGTGCATCTCTCCACGGAAACCTGGTGCTCTTCAGAGCCAAGGTCAGCATGCGCGTGTGCTGTCATCACAGCACGGCTGCTCCCGCGTGCACTGGGAGTGCAGAGCCAGGAACACACACCACTCCGCCAAGTGCAAACACTTTACACCCACGGTAAATGTAAACCCTCAAGCCACACGGATGCCTTCAACTCCAACCCAACCAGTTCTCCATACTTCCTCTTCACCAAGCAGCCTGGCTTGGTGAACGCATCGACTTCTTTGGGGAATCCCTCTTATGCAACCACGTGTTCCTGCTTGCCAAGGCGGCCTCTTCCCCATTCCGATGCCCTCCTGCCTTCCCTTAACCCAGTCCTCTGCCCTGCACGGCTGTCTATCCCACTTCCAAACCCCGGCCTTCCCATTGCCCGGTAGCTCCTGGACCTGCTGCACGACCTGCCTGGGTGGATCGTAAGGCTCTGGGCCATTCCCCACTGCTTTCTCAGGCCACAAGCAGGGAGCTGGATGGGAAGTGGAACAGCCAGGATTAGAACTGGCACCCAAATGGGATCCTGGTGAATATAAGGTTAGGACTAGTCTACCACACCGGGCCCCTCTCCAAATGTCTACGAATGAGTACAAAAGCTGAAGTATGTAAAAGAGCACAATTTACAGGCCCAGCACAATGGTCCAGTGGCTAGACCTTCGCCTTGCATACACTGGGATCCCAAATGGGTGTCAGTTGGTGTCCCAGCTTGTGGCCTGGGAAAGCAGTAGAGGATCTCCCATGGTCTTCAAACTGCACCTATGTGAGAGACCTGGAAGAATCTCCCGGCTCCGGACTTCAGATCGGCTCAGCTCCAGTCGTGGCGGCCACGTGGGAATTACAGGATGGGAAAGATCATTCTCTATTTCTTTCCTTCTCTCTGTAAATCTGTCTTTGCAAAAAATAATAATAAATCTTTTTTAAAAAAATAAGTCTAAAATAAATGGAGGAATATATAAATAACTAGTCTCATTTGTCAGGAAACTAAACAATGTAAAGATGTCGTGGGCCCGGCAAGGTGGCCTAGTGGCTCAAGTCCTCGCCTTGAGCACACCAGGATCCCATATGGGCACTGGTTCTAATCCTGGCAGCTTCACTTCCCATCCAGCTCCCTGCTTGTGGCCTGGGAAGCAGTCATGATGGCCCAAAGCCTTGGGACCCTGCACCCGTGTGGGATATCCGGAAGAAGTTCCTGGATCCTGGCTTCGGATCAGCATAGCATCGGCCGTTGCGCTCACTTGGGGAGTGAATCATCGGACGAAGATCTTCCTCTCTGTCTCTCCTCCTCTCTGTATATCTGACTTTCCAATAAATAAATAAATCTTAAAAAAAAAAATAAGCCAACAAACCTATGCTAACAAACTTTGAGCTACACCTTACAGGCAACACTGTGAAGTGCCAAGAACGAGAAAGTGGCAAATGGGATCCCTTATTTGCCTGTGCATGTTGGTAGGGGAGGGGGGAAGTTTTACAAGCAAGGAGCTTTAGACGACCCCTGCATGGTCTGCACACAGAAAACCTCTTGTGCCCACTGTCTTTCTTGTTAAGCATAATGGCTATCTATTAGTTCTTGAAAACTATTTTTTTCCCCCAGCCTCCAAGTGGCTGCTTTCTCACCTGGGCAATCCCTGTTCCAATGCCACCATCACTTCTTCAGAGATGCCTTCCTTTCCTCCATCACCGGCTACGCTCTTAACACCAGCTCCAAGTCCTTCACTCGATGAGGTCTCCCACTACTAGAACATTTAAGGTGCCAAAAGCAGGGCGCTCTCTCTTCAACAACCTATTTTCTTGCTACCCCAACTCTGGCACTCAGCCGAAGGACTAAGTGTTACTCATCGGGAGAATGGCAGCAATTGAGGGGACTGCTGCTGGTTAGGCATGGGCGCCGCGGGCTGGCCGCTCCTGAGGAAGGAGATGGCAAGGGGGCAGCAGCTGAAGAGGGCTGGCTGGAGCTGAAGTGGACGCGGGCGGGGGCCCAGAGCTCGGACCTGGACTGCCCTGACCAACTTGCTCCGGGAGCAGGACGGTGGAAGCCACGGAGTCCAACCCCCGCGCGTTCCCTGCTAGGTAGCCAGACGCCACGGCTGTCAGCCTGGCCCCTTCTGTCCCTCCGGGAGCACCTCGCACGATCGTCTCGCGCGGCATTACCAGGTCGCTTGGTCACCAAACTTAAAACACTCGGGCCGAGCCCCCGTGGCAGCAGGCAGTGTCTGTGAGCAACGGCCATCCGCCGTGGGTCCCTAAAAAGGGGTCCGACCCCCAGCCGCGCACCCCTGCGCCCGCTCACCCGCCGGCTGACGTGCATCTCCCCGCCCCCAGCCTCCACGGGAGCCCGAATGGACCCTCACTTACGCTTGTCTCCGGGCTATGAGGCGATGCATGGGAGTCGCCATCTTTGCGCGACCGAGGCCTGCCGCGCTGGCTTTTGGGAAACTCCTTGGGGGGGCGGGGACATGGAGCTGGGGCAGTCGTGGCGGTGGGCGGGGCCTGGCGGCCGTGTCAGGCGGCATCTTGGAGAGAAAGAGGTTGGTGTGTTAGGGTGGGGACGCCAGGGTGCTTCGGCTGGTAGGGCCTCAAGGGGTTTCCAAGGACGAAGAACGAGGGAGAACATTCTCCAACAAGGGAAACTGACTAGGCCTTTTCCTGTGGCGCCACCATTCCATATGCGCTTTGGAATCCCGGTTGCTCCACTTCCCATCCAGTTCCGTGCTTAATACCTGGGAAGGCAGTAGAGAATGGCCCAAACCCTTGGAACCCTGCACCAGTGTGGGAGACCTGGAAGAAACTCCTGGCTTCTCACTTCAACCTGGCCCCGCCTGAGTCGTTGTGACCATCTGAGGAGTGAACCACCGGATGGAACATCTCTGTCTCACTTCTCTGCAAATTTTGACTGTAAAACTTAAAATAACTCCTACATACACCCTATATATGTAAATCAATATAATAATATTTAATTTAAATTTTATTTTACTTTTTTAACATTTTATTATTATCATTATCATTTTATGATACAATTCCATAGGCTCCTGGCATTTCCCTTATCCCCTCCCCAATTCCCTCCCCCTAATTTAAATTTTATTTTATAAATTAAGGGTAGATGAAGAAATAAATAGAGAGAGCTGGATGGGGAGCGGGACCGCCGGAATTAGAACTGGTGCTCATAGGAGATCCTGGGGCATGCAAGGTGAGAACTTCAGCCGCTAGGCTATCAAGCCAGGCCCTTGATAATCCTTTAAATATCCTATACACTGGAATGGATGCCTGGTGAACTGTAGGTGCCTTTTTGGATACCTGCAGCCCACATAGAAGTTACTGGATTCAAGTCCTACCTAGTTCCACTTTAGATTTCAGCTCGCTGCCTGCTCCTGCCCCGGGAGGCAGCAGATGGTGATGGCTCTTATGTGGATGCCTCCCGGCTGCATGGCAGATGGAATTCTAGGCTCCTGACTATGGCCTCACCGGAACTCTGGCTACGTGAGCATTAGGGGAGTGGATCACTGAGTGCTTGCACTACCCTCTCTCTTTTTCTGGACTTCCAAATAAAAAATCAGTAGGAATTTGACAGTACTGATGTGATGGCTCTACTGGCTAACTCTGCCTGCAAGTGAATCCCATACTGCCACTGGTTCATGTCTCAGATGCTCCGCTTCCCTTCCAGCTCCCTGCCTGTGGCCTGCAGCTGCGTGGGAAACCCAGAAGCTCCTGGCTCCTGGCTTCTGATTGGCTTAGTTCTGGCTGTTGCAGCCATTTGGGGAGCGAGCCACCAGATGAACGATCTTTCTGTCTCTCCTTCTTTGTATAGATTTGCTTTTCCAATACAAATCTTGAAAAATTAATAGGAACTTGAAATATTGTGACCCAACTTACTTTTTCACAGGATTTCAGTTACTTACACTTGTATATTGAAAATGTGATTTTTGGGCCCAGCGCAGTGGCGCAAGTGGTTAAGGTCCTCACCTTGCACGCCCGGGATCCCATACGGGCGCCGGTTCTAATCCCAGCAGCCCCGCTTCCCTTCCAGCTCCCTGCCTGTAGCCCAGGAAAGCAGTCGAGGACGGCCCAAAGCTTTGGGACCCTGCACCCGCGTGAGAGACCTGGAAGAGACTCCTGGCTTCGGATTGGCATAGCATTGGCCGTTGCACTCACTTGGGGAGTGAATCATTGGACAGAAGACCTTCCTTTCTGTCTCTCCTCTCTGTATATCCGCCTTTCCAATAAAAAAATAATAAAAATAAATCTAAAAAAAATTTTAAAAAAAAGAAAATGTGATTTTACTAATGAGGTTAAGAGATTTTCATGTAAATTGGTAAATGAAACCAATTTCAGTCTGAGTGTAGCAGTGTACCTTAAACATGAATAGAAGGAACTAGAACCTGCTGTGGCAGGGGAACCGACTGAAGGCCGTAATTAGGAATATGCTGTTGTAACGGACCTTTGAGTCACATCCAGTCATAAACTCCCAGCTGACCAGACCGTGCCTGAACAAGGCTCAGGCTGAGCTGTCACGAATCAACCTGATGTTTTTATACCTCACTTCCCTTTTTCTGATTATGAGCATTACCTGGGTCTCTTGAACAGTGTTCATTTTCATTTTTAAGATTTGTTTACTTTTATCGGAAAGGCAGATCCACAGAAAGGAGGAGATACAGAAAGATCTTGCATCTGCTGGTTCACTCCCAAAGTGGCCGCAACATCCGGAGCTGTGCCGATCTAAAGCCAGGAACCAGGAGCTTTTTCCGGATCTCCCACACGGGTCACAGGGTCCCAAGGCTTTGGGCCACTCTCAGCTGCTTTCCCAGACCACACACAGGGAGCTAGATGGGAAATGGAGCTGCCGGGATTAGAATTGGTGCCCCTGTGGGATCCTGGCATGTTCAAGACGATGACTTTAGCCACTAGGTCACTGTGCTGGGCCCAAAGTCTTTGTCTATCTTTACATATTATCTTATATACTGTGATTATTTTTCTTCTTGTTTTGTCTGTTGTCCTTGACTTTGTGATTGTTTATACAAACTGGGGGCTTAGAATGTTTATAACATTTGAGGTGCCAGCATGGTGGCACAACAGGGTGATTCCATATGGGTGCTGGTTTGTGTCCTGGCTAATCCTCTTCTGATCCAGCTCCCTGTGGCTGGGGAAGCAGAGGAGGATGGCCTGACTCTGTTGGACCTTAAACCCATGTGGGAGACATGGAGGAAGCTCCTGACTCCCAGCTTCAGATTGGATCAGCTGTGGCCATTTGAGGGCTAAGCCAAATAAAAATAAATAAATATTTTAAAACTAAAATAATATTTACGAAATGTAAGGAGCAGAGAGACAAGTGCTCTTGTCTACCTGTTCAGTTCCCACAATGCTTTGCAGTCACCAGTGCTGCGACCAGGGTCGGAGCCAGGAGCTGGGAGTCCAACCCGGCTGTTCCACGTAGGTGGGAGGGACCCAAGCAGCTGAGTCATGGCCTGCTGGACGTTGACTGTTCTACAGTCATCTTAAGCAAACATTGTGGTTTCCTGGATTTGGTTCACACTAAGCTTATTCCTTTCTATAACAATATCACTCAAATACAGTTTATTTAATATATTTAATTATCATTATAATGTAGTCTTATATTTTATTTTAATATATGTTATATAAATGATCACAAACACAATAGACAAAACATGCAACGTTAATCACGGTAGATAAGACAATATGTAAAATATTGAGGAAAAAATAAAACAGTTGTTTCTGTGCTCATAATCTGACTTCTAATTTTATTTCACTGAGATACCATTTATTAATGATCTATTACTTTGGATATTTTTAATATTTATTTTATTTTTATTGGAAAGTCAGACATACAGAGAGGAGGAGAGACAGAGAGGAAGATCTGCCATCCGTCGATTCTCTCCCCAAGTGGCTGCAACAGCTGGAAATGTGCCAATCTGAAGTCAGGAGCCAGGAGCCTCTTCCAGGTCTCCATGTACCTTCAGGGTCCCAAGGCTTTGGTCCATCCTCCACTGCTTTCCCAGGCCACAAGCAGGGAGCTGGATGGGAAGTGGAGCTGTGGGGATTAGAACCGGAACCCATATGGGATCCTGGCCTGTTCAAGTCGCCAGGCCACCGTGCTGGGGCCTAAATCTATTTTTATTTATTTGAAATGCAGAATGACAGAGAGATAGAGGAACATCGTTCATCTGCCAAAACTTCTAGGTCTGGGCCTTGAGGAAGCCAGGAGCTCAGAATTCAATGCAGGTCTTTCATGTGGGTAGCAGGGACCCCACGACTTGAGCCAGCACTTGCAGCCTTCCTCAGGTGAGCATGAACAAGAAGCTGGATCAGAAGAGGAGCCAGGATCTTTGGGATTCTGATACTGGATGCAGATGTCCCATCACCAGCCTCTGTAGACTATTTTTCTATCTGATAAGGTGTAGTCATCCCTCACAAAAAGCTTAAGAGCCCTTTGAAAACAGTGTAAGAAAAAAATTCAGGATGGAAAAGTTTGCTTTGGTGTGAGAAGCACTTTGTGTTGCAAATTAAAACAGGAATCTGGGGGACTGGCATGGTGGCTGAATGGATTAATCCTCCACCTGCCATTGCCAGCATCCCTTAAGGACACAGGCTCTGGTCCTGGCTGCTCCACTTGTGCTCCAGCTCCCTGCTTGTGGATGAGGAGAGTAGCGGAGGACAGCTCCGGCCCTTGGCTTCTCTACCCATGTGGACTTCCTACATTGAGCTCCCAGCGCCTGGTTTTGGATCCGCTCAGCTCTGGCTGTTACAGCCATTTGGGGATAGAAATCAGTGAATGAGAATCCTTCTCTCTCTCTGTCTAGCCTACTCTATGTAAATCAGCCTTTCAAATAAGAAAGAAATCTTAAAAACAAAACACAGGTATTTGGTAGAATTTGAATTAACCTTGGCCATCCCTGAAGTTTGCTTCCGTTTTTCACATGCTGCCTACTTCTGCAAATGTTACCCACTTTGGATAATACACCTTTCCATTTTTTATACTTTGGGCTAGAATTGTTTTTCTTTCAAGGTTTCTGTCTCAAAGGGCCTGTCACCTTTCACAAATCCTCCAGGTAAACTGCAGAGCCCCACCTTTTTCTACAGAGATCTGCACCTGTGCTGTGAGTGTTACAGGTCCTGGTTTTCTTAGGGCTACTCAGGTTGCAAGTGATAAAACAACCCTTGCCCCCAAAAAGGGCTGTGAGAGGGATTTAGGGCATGCAGGCTGGAGCTGGGCAACTCCAGGCTCCCGGCCTCACAATCAGCGATGTGATCTTTGACCAAGGCCGACTGTCTCTGCTTTCCTGTAAGTGACGAGATCATTCTGTCACACATCTCTCTCCCTGGCTGGAAATGACTACTGCAACCTTAGCCATATGTTTTTCTGATGCCATAGTTTGTCAGAGACAAAAATCAAACCCAAAAGGAAGCTGATTGT